GGGGAGCGGGGACTGTGTCAGGTATTGCCATCGTGAATTATTATCATCCGGTCCATTCGCGTCCAATTACCTTTATAGTGTATAATAACACTTGTACAGCCCGGTACTACAAGTCCATCCGGAGAATCGCGCTGGATGAGCGTCAAGAATCGCGCAGATGACGCTCATTTCGAGTAGAGCCGTAGGGAGGAGCCGTATCTCTCTAATTTATCGTTGTGCATTATCGCGCGAGATCGTTTCGTGACTAATATTACCTGCGAAGCAGAACGAGGAGGCTAATGAAATAATTACTCTAATGGAATCTTTTCGTAAAATCTATCACTCGGCGCACCGCGGTGCCACTCCCTCGTCGCGCACGATCTCGATCTCGATCTCGCTCTCGCTCTCGCTCTCGCTCTCGACAAAACGAGAGCGAGTCAATGGTTATAAGCACCAAGTACTAAGCACGTAAGTACAAAAGGAGCCGGGGCTCGCGAATAGTCGCTAGATTAAAAAGAGGCTCCCTTTTCGTTTGCCCTTTTATGCGTGTGCGCGGCCCTGCCCCGCGTTCCCCCCACGCACCATGTGCCACGCACGTACCCGTCTACCGTACGGCTCATACGTATATCTATACGTGTATACGTATTACGGTAGCCGTATTCGATATCTCGCGTGCGTCTGCTGGAAAAGCAATCCGATCTAGCCAGCAGTCTATCGTTCTATTCTTCGCTCCCGGCCCCCTTTCTCGCTCCTGGCTCCATTCAAATCTTCCTGCAGACGGAAAAAAGCAGCAAATCACTCTCGGGGCTTACGTCAGCTCATCCCCCTTGCCACCAGCCTCGACGACGACGAGTCGCCGTCGTCGCATCTCGTCGTTATCTCCTCATCTTTATTATACTATTTAATTGCAAGTAAGTATTATCTAATGATCTTTACGTATAGTTTATTTATTTTTAGTATGTTGCGATTTGCGACTAGAATGTACTCCGGCGTTAGCATTGCTAGGATTTTAAATATTGAGTCGCTCTTCACGTCATTCATCGTCCATCTTGCTGGCTCGAGGAATTTACAAGTTTTAGGCCTACGCATCTCGGACAATCTTGTCCCTGTTGATTAACTTCTTCTCGTTTGTCAGGAAGATCCTAGACAGACCTTGAAATCTCTTTTCTCTTTTCTCTTTTCACCATTATTAGCGCGACAACAGTTGTGGCAATATCAACAACCACATCATCAACAGCAATGGAAGTAGCAACGTAAAGTACTCGCCACCACCCTATCGGCGGACTCTCTTTCTCTCTCTCTCTGTCCCTCGTATTCCACATGGTATCTCTATCGTTCTCCATAAATGGATGGACGCCAACGAAAAAGGGTGCCTTTGAGCCTGTTCGTTGCTGCCAGATTAATTAACGAAGCGCTCGCCTGGGGGCCGCAGAAGGATCAGCTACTCCAATGCGAGAGTGGTCATAGGATCCACCTACCTACCTACCTACCACCTACCTACCTACCTACCTACCTATCTATGTATGTATGTATGTATGTATGTATTTACTTGTGAACCTGCCTACCACGTTACCTATTATCTGCGCATCCATCTGAAGATCATCTCATTCGTTCGTTAATACAACAGTTTACCCAACTTCCTTCCTTGTAACTCGGGTCGAGGTTCCACATCTATTTTTGTTTCCGAGTCAACCTCTTAGGGCGTACAACACGAAATTTTACTCAATATGTAATTATCACATGACATCTGCTCTGTGATGAAGCCAGAGACTCTTCAATTACCTACCGGTGTCTGTCTGTAAAACTTTTTGTCAAACAATACATCAGACCGAAATTTATCAGAAATTTATCACCCGTATGTTTAATTCCTTTTTATTTTTATTTTTTTTTAAATATTTTGTTCCATACCAGGTTGATATTTTTATATGTTTCAGATGTATAGCATTACATAATTATAAGATCTTGAAGCTATTATGCCGTTATGCCCTTATGCCCGGGACAGCGCGAAGTAGTAGTACGCCACGAGTGGGATCTCCTGATAGAGAGACCAGTACACTGTTGGTGCTAGTAAGTTTATATATAAAATAAAAACTTTATCGGATATGTACCTACATCTCGGTAATCCACCACCCTTGCCCTTTCAACAGATAATCGACTCGTTGAAATAACTCCCCCAGAGACTGCCATTCCCCGCCACCTTACGGCCTTACAGCTTTTCAGGCTTTCAGTCCCGCGTAAGGTGCTCGTTCGTCGATACGCGTTGCTCCATCTGTTCGTCATCTCTATCAACTTGTCCCACCCTTCCCTCACGAACCTCAGGATTTGGTCAGCTAATCGTACGACGAATGATTGTAAAATTAGCGGTCCACCAGAAATCACGAAAAACCTTATTTTATCGTGAATTACAATAATTAAACGAGGACATGGAAATAATATTATCGTTCGTAACTATCGTGTCAGAAGAACCTACGTAAATTTTCCTGTTACCCGTTATATCGTGTCGTCGGGGTCATCATCGAATTTTTTAAACGAGAGATAGCAAATAAAAGAAACGTATACTTATTCGAGGATAATTCTCTTTACAAGCCAATTTATAGTATAGATATCTTAAGTTCTTTTATCCCGCTCTCTATTTCTGTGCAAGTCTCTGCGATACAATAAGTTGTGCCTGTTCATTGATTCGGTACTTTTCGTATATTACAATTATTCATGCAATTCACGACGCAGTGAGTGTGAGCGACGCAGCGATACAAGAGTAATAAGAAAGCATTGAGCATTCGACCAAATAGCAAGAGGTCGGCTTACAATTATAGGGAGACTGAGTGACAGATGCTGGCTCGCGGTACACGGAAGATTAAAACAAGTAATCAAAAGTTTCGCCAACCTGCTGCACCCTCGATGGATGTGGATGGATTGCGCGTTTATTCACACTGGCGCAGTCACTGCCACTGCCCTCTTACCCGCCCCCCCGAATCCGCAATCGGGGGGCCATTGTCGTAACGTCGAAGGCAATATGACGAAGATGGTCGCGATTTTTCATTTTGCTTCAGCAGTTCAGTAACGTTATCACGGCTAATGTCGCATTCTCGTCGTTTGATACTTCTCAATGAAATCGGTGCAGATCGTGCAGAAAAGTATTATGAGATAAAGCAATGAAGCACAAGTGTTTATCTGTGCGCAGTGTCATTTTTTAGTTAGATGACTATTCCCGCAGTACTGTTTAACAATTGAGTGCGCACGATGTAAAATGAGCATCGGAGAGAAGTATATCAGCAAATTGCGTTTGGTGACTTGATTAGTTCCGTTATTATCCCTTTTGCCATAACACAAAATCAAATCAAGCAGCGGAAGATTTAACCTCGTTCTTTCCGCAATGTGAAATACGTATCGTAATTCTTAACAGCACGTACTACTCCGTGATGCCCTGCTTTAAGCGTTTGTTTAAAATTTTGTAATGTTCACTTCGTGTACATCATATCTAATTTACGGGGATCACGCAAAGCCTCAATTACATCAGTTTCTGCTACGCGAGTATAGTATATACATATAATATGTCGGTAATGTGTAAATAAGCAATTCAACGATCAAAATTACCTTGTCGGTCAGCCATGACGTTGCACAACACATTTTATTCTATCCTTTGTTTTAATTTATCGACTGAAAATATTCTTTGCTGTCCTTTGGATTAGGTTTAATAGTTTTGGACTCCGGCTGCCAATTGGCTGGGCACACCTCTCCATGCGTCTCGACGAATTGAAAAGCTTTGAGCAGACGCAACGTTTCGTCGACGCTTCGCCCCACTGGTAAGTCGTTTACGCTCAGTTGGCGTAAAATGCCTTCCTTGTCGATTATGAATAGACCGCGAAGAGCTACACCTTGTTCTTCCAAGAGTACATTGTATTTAGAAGATATGTGTTTGTTAAAGTCACTTAACAGTGGATATCCTAATTCACCGCCTAGACCACCTTGCGTCTTGGGAGTGTTTATCCATGCTAAGTGACTGTAATGCGAATCCGTGGAAACTCCAATAACCTGTGCATTTAGTTTCTCAAAATCAGCAATTCTTTCGCTAAATGCCAAGAGTTCGGTAGGACAAACAAAGGTGCTGAAACGAAATGAAAGCGCATAAAAGATAACATAGAAGAACCATAGTATATCGTTTTGTATTACATTATTGGAGAAAAAAAAACTCACAAGTCCAAGGGATAAAAAAAGAGAACAACATATTTTCCACGATAGTCACTCAGCCTTATGTCTTTGAAGTCTCCATTGATAACCGCAGTTCCCAAAAATTCTGGAGCAGGTCTTTGAATTTGTGGCCATTCTTTGCGCAGTTGTGGACTCGTTGCAAAATATTTTGAAAATATTGTACTATTAACTTTTATTCTTCTGGAGGTTAAGCCAGTAATCTATTTGGTATATTTATATTTATGTTAGCATTTGTCGACGTAAATGTATTGCAAACGTGTATCAAATAATATTACTTACTATACTCTTAGATCTGTTAAGGAGATTCGGTAATAGACGATGCATTTTTTAACTCTCGAGTCGGAAATATTATAAGTAATGTATTTGCTGACAGTTTGCCAGAAGATTTGTCCAGTGTCGATTATTCTGAAAGAAATTGATTTTTTCATTTCTCATAAAATTAAGATAATACATGCAATGAAGATCTCGAATGGTTATATAATAAATTTGTATGATAACCTGAATGTCTTTCTGATGCAAATTACTTGTAAGAATATATATGCAATCACCACATCAACGTATTTTTAATAGAATATAATATTTTATTCTGCACTTTAAGTAATGAAAAACAATCAAGAAATGCAAACTAATCTCAGTCGCTAATTGTCGCTGTCGCTAACCAATTGTCCACAGACCCAACTTTAACGAATTGTCTTGAATCAAGGCACAGACCACTTATTAGAGACACGGCACTCCCGTGCTATAGACTGTTAGCACGAGCAGCAGCGCCATCTGATGGGTAGGATGTATAAGTTTCTATGCTTTACTACAGCCTATTGGAGTGTCAAACCCCTGGTATTTTCACAGCACAGATAAATAGGGAGGTACAACGCTACGATTTTACAGAGATGAGTAAGGAGATGCACAACGCTACGGTTTTAGGCGAAGTAGAGTTATGTGATCATAGCCTCCGTCGATAATGCGGATCCCGTCGTAGCCGAGCTAACCGCGATCACGAACGTGTAGCTTGCCGGGCAGAGTTCTCAGCCACTTATCGCTGCTTCCCAAAGCAACACTTAGAATGAGACAGCTCATCGGATATAGCCTAAATACTTTTTTTCTTTGCAATCCTAAATTCGATCGCACATTGTAAGCTCGGTAAGTTTAATATGACAAAAGCAAGCAACTCATGCCAGCCTGCACTGAAGCGTATGATGCCACCAGCATATTCAATACATATTTTACCGATGTTGCGTAGCAGAACGATTGTTAAAACCTATCAGGAACTTTAGAACTCCTCGAGAACTATTGAAAAAGCCTAAAAAAATGTTTCAACAATAGGCCTTTTCAATAGTTGTCGAGGAGTGCTATAATTTCTGATAGGTTTTAACAATAATTCTGCTACGTACCATCGGTAAAATACCTATTAATGATACTAGTCGCACCATATGTTTCAGTGCAGGTATGCATAAGGAGCTGGTTTTCATTGATGTTTTCAGATTGTGTTTCAAACACTTCCGGAATAGTTCTCTCCAGTACTCAATGTTGGGACCATAGTTCCGCCTGGAACTACTTTTAAATAATGCTTTTTTGAAAATCTCGAAAAAATGGTTTCTAAAGACTGTACCTGTTAGGCACTTATCTTGAATTTAAAAGAAAACTATTAGGGTGCAAACGATGGAACGCAGTGGAGATGTATTTACCGGAGCTGGTGCAGCTAATCCGTGAAGGACAAGAAGTGCATCCAGAAGAAATTCAGGTGGGCACTGCACTAGGACACAGCACTGCAGTTCGAGAACACTCACAGAAAATCCATAGAATTTCCTGGATATCGCGAGAGCAACGCGAGATGTAAACGAGCGATAACTTTCTGTACCGTTTCGAAACACAGCTAGAAAAATTATCAACAGGCAGCTCGTGACACCTCGCTCGATGCCCCGAGACAGACTGCTTTGACAATAGCCAAATTCGAGAACTAATCATCCTGATTATCTGATTGGTCGAGATCCTTATAGCCGATAACTCTTCCTTTCCCTCATGCCGTCCCTTTGAATTAAGGGGAGAGCGTTCCTTAGCAAATCGGTACGTAACATTTGGAGATCCTCCACGGCCACTTCCCCAGGGTATAGGGCGACAGCTGAGCACCACTTCCTCAACTCGTGACAGGGGATTCCTTCCCTGCCCTTAACCGTATCCAAAACTTATGCATTAAGATATCTTTGAAAATTTCGAGGAAAAAGCCGTAGATCCAAACGTTTGCGAGATACAGCCCGCTGAAGGTGAAATTTCGAAGGCCGGATATTCACTGCACGTGGCCCTATAGATATTCGATCTGTGCCAGCCTCTTCTATGGACCATTCTGAGTTTCTGCGTTAAAAGATCTCTTCTATCTTATTCCATTATTTCTTTATGATTATCTATCCTTATCCCAGCGGGACTGCCACCCAGAGAGCCCGAATGGCTAGGAGGTGTTGGTTGCTGGCTGACTGGGAGTTTGGGGTTTGGGGAGTCTAGTAGGGTGACTCGGTGGGTTAGTGGTAAACGGCCCAGGTCACCGGCGAATATCGCAGTTACGCATTAGAGAGATGCGGAGACAACTGCTCCCTGATAGGTTAACGATATTACCCAGCTTACGGGCCAACTCTCTCGCCTCCTGGTTCAATTTTATTTCCTTGACTACGGCTGCAGCCACCGCCGCACCATCTTTCGCCATCTCTCGCGTCTCCATGCATCCCCGTTATATGACTTTACGCTGGAAGCCATTGCGCGAAAAAGCTCGTCGCCCCTTTGGAACCGAACGACGCGAGGATTTCACGGAAATCCGCGTAAAGCGATCTCCAGGCAAAAACGAAATTTAATAGAGAGTCCACAGTGTTCTTCTCTCGTCGGTGCGCTATAAACGCGGAATTGGCAAAATCCAAAAAACTCGCGTGGACGAAGAAACATTGTTTAGTACACAGCGGAATCTGCGGTTGATCACTCGGAAACAAGAATGGCTGGAGATATACTCAGACCCTACCGCGCAGCATGGGAACCCTTTCGGAATGCATCACCAAAATCTCGCATAAATATAAGTCAGATCTATGCTATACTTCCGGTATAGTGTATAGTATAGAAAATTTATGGCTTTCAGCATGGCCGCTTACATAAATGTTTATGGCGAGTAGGAAAAAAACAGGAAAAATGAAAAAGATCACTTACCCCAGGATCCTCGTCTGCCCTTCTCTTGTCCATTTGTATTGTTCATTGGTCCAGTACATCTTTCGATACTCGAGGTCCATTCTGGTGACGACTTAACGATCCAGCCTTGACCACTATTTTGCACTTCCTGTATTTTCGGCTGCGGACTAATTCTTCACTTGTTACGAATAGACCAATACGCGAATATCCGCGAACTTTAGATAATGTCTTCGCGATGCACTTACTCAAACGTATCAATTCACTACGTCACACTTCTTTTTTCGTAAATGAAGGTGAAGGATTAAGAGTATAGAAAGAGACGTTTCGCGACGCACTACGTCACACTTCTTTTTTCGTAAATGAAGGTGAAGGATTAAGAGTATAGAAAGAGACGTTTCGCGACGCACTACGTCACACTTCTTTTTTCGTAAATGAAGGTGAAGGATTAAGAGTATAGAAAGAGACGTTTCGCGACGCACTACGTCACACTTCTTTTTTCGTAAATGAAGGTGAAGGATTAAGAGTATAGAAAGAGACGTTTCGCGACGCACTACGTCACACTTCTTTTTTCGTAAATGAAGGTGAAGGATTAAGAGTATAGAAAGAGACGTTTCGCGACGCACTACGTCACACTTCTTTTTTCGTAAATGAAGGTGAAGGATTAAGAGTATACAAAGAGACGTTTCGCAACGCACTACGTCACACTTCTTTTTTCGTAAATGAAGGTAAACGATAAAGAGTATAGGAAGACGCGTTTCGCGACACACTACGTCACACTTCTTTTTTCGTAAATGAAGGTAAACGATAAAGAGTATAGGAAGACGCGTTTCGCGACACACTACGTCACACTTCTTTTTTCGTAAATGAAGGTAAACGATAAAGAGTATAGGAAGACGCGTTTCGCGACACACTACGTCACACTTCTTTTTTCGTAAATGAAGGTAAACGATAAAGAGTATAGGAAGACGCGTTTCGCGACACACTACGTCACACTTCTTTTTTCGTAAATGAAGGTAAACGATAAAGAGTATAGGAAGACGCGTTTCGCGACACACTACGTTTTTCGTAAATGAAGGTAACACACTTCTTTTTTCGTAAATGAAGGTAAACGATAAAGAGTATAGGAAGAGACGTTTCGCGACGCACTACGTCACACTTCTTTTTTCGTAAATGAAGGTAAACGATAAAGAGTATAGGAAGAGACGTTTCGCGACGCACTACGTCACACTTCTTTTTTCGTAAATGAAGGTAAACGATAAAGAGTATAGGAAGAGACGTTTCGCGACGCACTACGTCACACTTCTTTTTTCGTAAATGAAGGTAAACGATAAAGAGTATAGGAAGAGACGTTTCGCGACGCACTACGTCACACTTCTTTTTTCGTAAATGAAGGTAAACGATAAAGAGTATAGGAAGAGACGTTTCGCGACGCACTACGTCACACTTCTTTTTTCGTAAATGAAGGTAAACGATAAAGAGTATAGGAAGAGACGTTTCGCGACGCACTACGTCACACTTCTTTTTTCGTAAATGAAGGTAAAAGATAAAGAGTATAGAAAGAGATGGTACGCGACACACTACGTCACACTTCTTTTTTCGTAAATGAAGGTAAACGATAAAGAGTATAGGAAGAGACGTTTCGCGACGCACTACGTCACACTTCTTTTTTCGTAAATGAAGGTAAACGATAAAGAGTATAGGAAGACGCGTTTCGCGACACACTACGTCACACTTCTTTTTTCGTAAATGAAGGTGAAGGATTAAGAG